AATGACAATACCTTGTGTCCAGAGAATGGAGGGAGATTCTGAAAGATGAAAATAAAGAAGAAACTATTCTGTTGAAGGGTATACAAATAATTCAAGATTGCATTTACCATCGGGTAATACGATGAATTCACTATGAACTTAACATTTGCAGTTTATAACTAAAATAAAACATCAAAATATTTCAGGGAGGAACTGTTTTAAGTGGGTCTCCTCATACTTGCCTTGCTTTGCTCAAATTTCCTTTTTAAGAAACAGCAGTTCTTTTTTCATACAGTAACTGCTTACCAAGAGTAGCACTAACCTCAATATCTCCTCTCTTAATAGCTTCCTGTTGAAAGTCTTCCCAAGATCCCAGTATGGTGTGAGTCAAAACTTGTCCATCCTCATCAAAAATTGGACCAGTTGTACCTTATTTGACAAAAGTGCAAAATAATATTATATTGGATAATTTATAATATTAACTAAAATTAATGAAACAAACCTCTGGGATAACTATAAAAGAACTAACAATAAAGGAAGATGTCTACAAAGTGAACATTATGGCAGAGTGACATATGGTCTTGTGCAACAGAGGTAAAAGATTTTTATGGGAAATTAAAGGTATAAACATTTATCACATTTAGTGCTTTTAAGAAGTTCTGTTGTCAAGAAAGTGTCAAATGTTTAATAATGTCTACATACATGAAAGTGTTATCTAAAACATCCATAAAGAAATGGATATTTAAAAATTATTAACCAATTATTTGCTGAAGGCAAAGTGAATATTGTTGAATAATCCTCAAGACAAAGCACATAATTATGCCTAAGGCAAATAATTTTTTTTAGTATGATTGCTTGGGTGCTTTCAAATTCTGTTGTAAAATTATTGTAAATTGAAAACTGTAAATTCTTTTACAATTGTCTGGATTACTCATATTGAGATAAGCAGTTTTCACAAGAATTAAACAAGTTTAACTATTAATTCCGTCAGCAAAAACTCCATACCCTTCTTTAGAAAAGTGTTACACCAAACTTATTAGCTTCTTGTGTGCTCTTCAGAATTGTATCTTCTTCTATCATGTTTATCAAGGCAGCCATTTTGAAATTTGTGCTCCTGCTATAATCACCAGGAGGTGAGTATTGCAAGATACAATGTAATCCTCAACCAATCAGAGTGCACACATCTCTATAATCACTGGAGCAATTATACAAAAGACATTTACTACGTATTGCCTTACCAATAAGAGGAGTAGATACTAAAGGTGCATCTGAAGGAGCTGGTCGTGCAACAGTCATACTGAAAAAAAAAAAAAAAGAACTCCTTTAACCCTGAAATAAGAAAATTTGCTTTTTGTTACACAAGAAATGATGAAATATGTTTTTTCTTACTTTCCAAAATGTACATGTCTTTGCTAATAACCTTGATGTCCAAAACATCATTATAAATCATAATTGTTAACCCTCTAACTCCCATGAGTGACCAAGACAGAATTTCTCCTTCCAATATCATCACAATATCAAGCAGACAAGTGATGAGAATAAAGAAAAATATTAATGAGGGGATTATTAGTTGATTCAAAACCAAATTCTCCAAACTGTTATCTCAAGAACTATATAGCAGTCAGTAAGGAGAACTACTAATGAGATATTGGGAGCTAAAGGGTTAATGTTAAGTAACACAATTAGTCTTTTAATACCAATTATCTTGTATCTGTTATTCAAAGAACACTCTATATCATTTCAAAGATGAGATATTATATGACTTATCTGAACTTTTCGAAGAATTTTGAGTTCCTTTGTTTTTTTTTTTCAATAGTTACATGTCAATGTAATTGCTAATGCAAATACCTCTTTCCTACAGGTTGATTCTGCTCCACTGAGGGCTTGAGTCGTGTCTTCCGCACCACGAGAGTTCTTGATGGTTTTGGGACTGCTGGTCTCTTGGGAGGATGGACCTGTTAAGTCAGGAAATGACCGTTTGATCCTTCAAATGTTCCACAACATATAGGAGTAGACAAGAATCAAGTTCATTTACGATGAAAATAATTCAACTGTGTTTTCTTTGACTTTTTGTGACAAAACTTGTAGCAGTTATTATTTTGCCAGACAACCTGAAAGTGTACATCCTTCATTTCCAAGAAAGATTACTAATAGTTATATCCACATACAAGTCTTCATTAGCTTAATCTAGAGTCCAGTATGGACTAACTAGATACTGAAAGGTTGATCTAACCTTCCTGTTTCTTTGTTTACACTCACTATGACTTTTGCTTATAAACAAAAGTGAACAGCTTATTGCACACCTTCACCGAAGACAACCCTTCAACATCATAACATATCAAGGCCGCAGCTACCGCCAGAATTGTAGAATGACTTATGTATGTAGTTGGAAAGGATTTAAATCAGTGATAAGTGTTAATAACCAGGGAAAAAAATATGCTTCACCTGATAATTGCAAGGAAGAGTCTCAGTAATTGTATTATTTATCAACATGGGGAATTTCCAATTGAGCAGGACAAAGCTTACCACTTGCCAACTGGAAGTAACAGGTTGACAGTTTGAAGCAATTAATGACCACATCTTGGCGTCTCAAATTCATTTTTCTCTAAATTATACCACGCTTTCTTTCAAATGTTTTTTTTTTTAACCTTTAGTAAGTGAAGCATGCCTTAAACAAAATTTTCTTTATTTTTCCTCTACCTTTTTCAATTCGTCCACATTGATTGCCAGAGAATCAATATCATCTCCACTTATGACCTTCCCAACAGATGGTCCTGTGCATAATTCATCAGGAATGTGCACAGCAGAACCAATTGGTGAACTCATCTTATCAGGGGTACCACCATCTCTCTTTTTAGTTTTAGCACTCTTATCTGGAAAAGGTCATCAAGACACTCATTAACGATATTCATATCAAGCCTCCTCCTTTTAATAATAATAATAATTATAGTTAACAAGTCTCACCAATGGTTTTCTGTGATCTCCACCAAAGTTGACAATCATTCTTAGTAATGACTATGTGTAACCCTCAAATATTTAAAGGAGAGTACCACCCCCCACATTAGGTATCTTTTACCAAAGATTCAGCTACAGGTTCAGTTATGAATGTACACCAACTAAGTTTAGATTTGTGCAATGGCCCTGTTCATGGAAAAGTTATGCCGTTTAAAGACATTTTCTTTAATACTTAAGTTACTCACCTAGAGCAACCCCTACATGTATATATCCTTTAAAAAGTGTAGAATTATCTTAGTATGATGCAAAAAAACAATCAAATTATCCTACCCTGAACAATGTACGAGAAAGCAGAGTTGATCGAAGCATAACCAGATTTATCTTCCATAGCAAAAAAAAATTTTTTTGTCGTTAACCAAGTATTTTTCTTACTACAACTTCGATCAACAGAGCTCAGACGAGAGCCATTCGGGATAGCTTGCGTGTCCCATCTATAAGAAAATGGGCTACTCTCTTTCAACCTCTCACATGCATGCACCTCAGTCTCTCATGCATGCAAGAAGGCTTAGCGATGAAATTTTCCAATCCTATTTTTCATATGTTTGTGATTTCAAATGCAAAAGTGAAAGGAACATAGAAAGTATACACCACAAGAAGATAAAAGAAACAGTTTATGTAACCTGAGATATCAAAATGGGTTTGCGCGTCATCTCAGCGAAATTGCTTACCTGTCGATCTTGGGCGATCCTTCCTAGAAGGTTTGCTTGAAAGTTTGTTACTCATGTCGTTACCAAGTACACTGACACCGTTACACAGGGAGAACAGAGAAAGAAAATCTAGAAGCACTTCTGCTACGCTCTCGTAGCAACAGCCGCCATATTAATTGACAACAAAGTAACATCTACCGAGGGAGTGTAGGACAGTGGAATTTTGTTATCATAGAAACGAGTCACACAATTTAGACATAAAAAGGAGGAGTTACTTCCTCCCGTATTAGCTTGTCAGCATTTTTCCCCCTCCTTTTATAAATCTTGCTTTGAATTAGAGGCTAAAAGCTAACTGAAATCAGGAAATGATGTAAAATTTTTTGGCGTGCGGTTTATATCATGCAAATATCGCTGAGCACAGCCTTTTTAAATGATATTTATCTCCCAATACCAGCGGCAGGCAAGGACTGAAGATTAAAACAACGAAGAAGATCTTAATTATTAAATTTATGTTATCGCAGAAAAGATCTCCAAAAATCTGCGAGTAAGAGAAGTTTCTTTTTTTTCATCATAACAACGACAGGTTGGAAAGAAATATCAGAAGGGGCCTGACAATTGGCAAGTATGCTTCAACTATTAACGCTTGATTAAACGATAAGAGCATATCAACAGTAGTATCAAATAAAAACGCTAGCGGAAAAATTATCCAGCATAAACGTGTTTTTTTTTTTTTAAACTTATGGTGCGTTTACAAAACAAAAACTATTGACTTCGTGCATACGAGGCCTAACCCACTAGCTTTTAGGGATGAAGCTCCAAAAAAAAAAACCCTTGTACAACACATCAAGAAGAAGCAAAGTTTCAGATTGTGTTGACTAGTGTTTAGAAGTCACAGCACAAAAACAGATGTTAACCAACCGAGTGAATTATTTTACAGTCTTCATCAGGAGACCGACATTGAGAAAACCCACCTATTCCCTCAAATGTAACCAAAAAAGTGGCACAAAACCGAAGAGCGTCAAGTAATATCTGCTTAATTCAGTTGAACGGATAAATAAAAGCATTCTGCAATCATAAGAAACTAGATGTTACGATTACACAAAGCTCTCCAGTCTACGTTTAAAGCCCGAGTCTGAAACATTTCGAAGGCAGCAGTAACCAACGGTTGGGTCTTTCAAAATTGATAACGTCCATTGATAACAAAAAAATGACCGTCACTCTGTCACTCTGTCTCGTCCCTCTATTGAGAAAAGCCACTGATTATTTAACTTTCAAGAAACCTCCGAGTTTTTAATACAGTTGCCTGTTAACTCAAACAATCAGGATTCAGAAAGAATGACAAAGGAACTTTCAACTACGTTGCAGCTAGGAATGTTGGCATTTACTGTTTAGAGAGGCTGACTACATCTTTCAATTTTCGTTTTTACTTCATAACTTATTAATGAACAGTTATATCGCTAAAACAATATGAAAAATCTCTGTAACCGACCCCACCACTTAAATTCCGCTTGAAGTCTCAAATCATACAATGATACATTTTACATACCTTAATAAGACTTTTCTTGAAAAACAAATCGCTGAGTAAAATTTACAATTTGACTTAAGAAATTAAGTCTATAAAGCTCATTAACTTTACGAAAATACATTTCTATCACTGAGCTATCTACAATGCAACGGTTTTCAATTACACATGAAATTCGTTGCTTAAAAATGTCGGAAACATTTTACGTACAACAGAGCTACATTAGCAAAATAAAGTAAAACAAGGCTATCACAGACAAATTGAGACATTAAAATGGGCATGAGCCTTTGAAGCTTCTCCAAAGTGGCGACCGAGATGAAAAGTTATCACATCGAAAACTAATTTTCACAGCAAAAAAGTGCATGGTCCAAAGATTGCGTACTGGAGATTTATCGACACCAATTAGTATCATCGGTGAAATTAGACTTAATACGTTTCATGTTCAGAAGAGTTTGTAGGACTGTGTAGAGAGAACGATTTTCAGGCAAGTGTCGGGGTAATTCCAAATTGCACTGGTTTCGCCATGCTTTGCCCTATGACTGTTCCAGAAAACTTGGACAATCTCCTCAGCCAATCAGATATACAAATCTTGTACTACTTCCACCTTTGAACTCGCGTTTCCCGCCCTTAAGGCAGTTTGCTTGCGAGTACCACAAGTCTTTATCGACTCTGTGATTTCTTTGGTTTTGCGTTTTACAACACTCCAGAAAATCAACTCTACCATACATCCACAAACATAAGACCAAAATTTACCTTGTAGACCGACAAAGAGGAAGTGAATGAATTTGCTGCTAGCAAAAAAAGTTTCAATTAATTTGACGATTATTTCTCGGTTTCCCCTTCCACTCGGTTGCCATTCTGGAAAAGTTGTAGTACTTTTGGTATATGCAAGATTAACTTAAACAGTTAATTACGTTAGTTAATACCGATTAATTAAGTAAACAGATAGGAGAAAGGCGTATCAAATTTGACGAGACTATTAGCATACCCTTGTTTACTTTAATAGTTGTTGGGTTAAGCTTAACCCGCCCCGTACACTCAAACATTTATTTTTCGCTTGGCTATATATTTCCCTTCCTACTGAATGCTATCAAAATAACCACGGGAATGCTATTAGTCTGGTTAAGACACTCCATTCTAACCTAGAGCAAATAGTATTATTCTCTACCATAATGCACCGTGATCGATCACTCTGATCTGCTCTTCCGATGTCAAACAGTTAATAACACTGTATCTAAACATAACAAACACTCAAGAATTTGTTTAACTCCATCACACATAGGAAAAAGAACCATATATCATCTTGAGCACTTCAACAGCTCCTTCAAAGCAAGTAGGTTGATAAAATGCATTTTAAATGCAGTACCTATCTATACACAGCCTGTTAATTATATTTTTAAATCTTCATTTGGTCAATTAGGCACAACATCAAGAAGATAAATGGTAATCCTGAGCCAATCGCTGATAAATCGCATATAAGTTGTGCTGTTGTAGATTAGAGAGATCTCACCTCAAATGACAATGTTTATATTCATTCCAATACACCGTAAAAGCACCATTCATCTACCTAAATGTAGAGTTGCAGTTTTAAGAGCCTTCGTCGTCCCTCTCTTTTGAGCGCGCAAGCGCACGATTCTTGTTATTTAGCATTAAAAACCAATGCATGCGATTAGGTCTTTGTCTCCAAGAGAAACTGTTATAAGAGCTGATTTAGAGCCAAGAACCTAATTTCCACTACGGATGATTTAAGCTGCATCATAACTATTTCAGATATTTACTGATCTCTCTATTTTGACTATCCCTTCCATTATAACATACTGTCCTTCTTTACGTGAGAAGCGAATTAAGTCCAACACAGGTTTTACGAAGACAGTTAGTGGTGATCGCTTGACGGACCTTCGAAGTAACTTTCAATAAAGTTCTAGGCGTAAAAAATAATCCCACACAGAGAGTTTGAATGCTCTTAGAATGAATTCGCATAATCATGACAAAACAAACATTTTGCCGTTTTTAGGAAATAGCAGGAGCTGAAAAACCGCTTACAAAATGGCCGTTCCTTAGGAAGCGAGGGAAATAAAATAATTTGTAAAAATGATATCACTATCAAAGCCACGCCAACCGTTTCACGCACTGTCAGCGAAGCCAACAAAGTGTCTCTACATGTCAATCACGTGTCGTGTGGGCGGGGCTCGTTGATCGGCATTGTAATCAATATCTCATCGAGAAGCTGTAACGCCCGATGCAAATGAATTTCTATCCAGCACGGTGTTTCTTTGATGCTTTTTCTAGGGTAGTCAGGTCCCCAGCCTTTCACGAAGCTCAATCGCAGTATACAAAGCCTTCTCAAATCATCGACACCCACGCTCATTCCTATCTGTGGTAACAAGGCACCAGGCCCCACACCGGTGGAAATAGCTGCGGCTTGAGCTGCAGCGGCAGCTTGGGCAGCATGAGCCTGTTGCTTGATTTGTCGATAACACTGACGTAAGTCAAACACCTTAATGTACGCGGATGGGTAGATTTTGTGTACAGCGTCCCCGGGGCAACGCCCTGCCTCTCTATCTAAATAATAACTTTGTACAAAGACGCTGTGTTCACTGAGACATCTCACCCAGACATCACCTTCACCTCTTAAATCTAGCTGGACTCCTTTTCCTAAAAAGACACACAAAGATAGAAAGGGCTAATTCATGAGGACAGTCCTTGTGTTCAGGTTCTGCTTTGCAGCTTTTTTCTAAGGGTAATACATAGCTCGTAAGACACTCTGCCTAAATGACAGGCTGGTGAATTCCGTTTGACTCCCATCCAGCCCGGGAGAATTTGTGACACAAAGATCCCAGAAGTAAACTAAAATAAGGGCTGATAAGAGCCCTACCACATATGTGACTTCCAAATAAATCTTCCTTCATCAACAACCGCGCGAACACAGATCTCGTGGGTGTCTGCACTGACAAAAAGGTAGTACGAAAGAGTGTAGATCTTCTACTTAGGGAAGATTCACCACTGAATCGATCAATAAAGACTTACAAAGTTTCATGAACAGACATTGAGCCACTAACCTATGTGTAGCCTCGCCTTCTCACTCGCTTCGGTTCTGTGGACGTTGGAGAGCTGACCAAGACAAAACCTGTTCCCACCCGAAGGATCAACATAACCATCCACTGTGACTGACGGACACGAAGACATCACCTTAAAAATCTCTCCAACCTGCTGGTCCAGTTCGAAGTATGATATCGAGCACCAGTTTTCTGGAGCTGTTGCGAGAAGAGGAAGAGTTAAATAAAATTAGACGATAAAGATCACAAACTTCGTTGGGGGCACCCAATTCGGGAATCTTTTTGGCTGGCGCGAGTGTGTGAGAAGCCTAAATTGCGCGACCCTTAAATAACTGCCTTTCATCCTTCCTTCAACACATTTTTCACTTGTCACGGTAATTTTACTTCAGCTTTAACTTTTATTCTCGTCAACTGCTCTTTAAAAGGTCACTTAGTCTATTAATCTCAAATCCTCTAATTGGCTAATCGCGCGCTCGAAACCGGTCCAGCTCAAACAATACGGATCATGGCGGGCAAAGCGGATAAAAGTAAACCAGCCGGAAAAGAAAAATTATTTACCGATTGGTCCGTATGGGAAAAAGTGTGCCTTCGGTGTTGAGTACGGCCCTAGGGCTCAGGCTGCACTCAAGTTTCTGTCAAGTTTCGGGCAAAGTTTGTTCCCTTACGGACCTCCCACCCGGAAAATATCTTATCCATTGTATAACATCGTACATGAGGTGAGTGAGTGTACTTACGGGGGTGTTTAGATATTGGAGCGCCATCTTGAACCTCTGATGCCTGATCCTGAGTCCCTAGAGATGATAAAAATTATCGACAACATTTAACTTCCAGCATCGAAACCTTCATTTATGTTAACAGTATTTTAGTATTTCATTTTTTTCGTTCAAAAGGAAAATCTCGCATTTTAATTCCGTTATTAAGATCTTAAGCTTCTTCTTGAAAAAAAAAAAATTCTTAACACAGAGATATAAAGTTTTTAAAATCCTTCTCCCTTGACTTGGAGCTCAGAGCCACCCTGTGTTATCCTCATTCCTTCATGGATCATCTGTGATTTTTCACATTTGCGAAAGATTCGACTACATTCTACCAAGAAAAGATCTTCCTCAAAGCTAGATACTTCATTTGCTGTCCTTATCACCACGTGAATACAACCTCACTGGTACAGAAGGTAGAGGATTAGTATAAGGTGCTTCACCTCATGTGCATGGAAATGTGTAACTGCGACCACCCCCCCCCCCCCCCCCCCCCCTCTACCTTTGAAAAATCTGAGCTACAGTAATGCCACCTAGTGGAGAAGGGCACAAAAAAGATCTACTGAAAGCGATTTGATGAAGTCCCTCTCACTGTTGTCAAATGGAAATGAATTTACAACATTCATTAAACTTACAATAACCAGCCCCAGGGTGTGGTCCAGGGTTGTAGGTGGCAGATCCTGGTGTACCCCAAGTGGGAGGTCCTGAGGAAGGGAACATTTTACACAAACACATTATAACATCTGTAAATCTGGTTTTGTTGGAGTGATCAATTTGGAAAATTCTCCCTGAATTTTTAACACTCAGTAAAGCAGACAGGTAATGAGAAGAGAGAAAATTATCAGCAAGGGAATGACAAGGGGTTTAACAATATAATACAAAATTTTGAGGACTTTCTAACCTGGAAAAACATGTCAGGTATCAAGTATCACAAGAATGACCCTTTAGATTATAAAAATTACTGAGATGAAAAAAAGTAAAAGTGAAAGGGAAAAGTGAAAGGGAAATCTAAATGAAAACCTTTTACCTCAAATTAATTTTCCAGGAATGTCTACGTACATATAAGTTTTCTGCTTTAAGTTCAAAGTTTGATAACAAACGCTTACTTAATTATTTCGAGGTTTCAAAATTGAAAATCGTTCATTTGAACATAGAACCAACCTAACTATAACTTTCTTTACCCTGAAGAAAACATGTTAGACTGTAAGTGATCAAGTGTCATACCTGAGGCAACATGACCCATGGAGGGATCTCCTGATGGATGCATTCCAGGGTACATATCATGTGGAGAACCAACAACTGAAGGAATTGTTTGGCTTCCTGCCAGTAAATGTTTATGTGTAAGTGATAATTCACCAAATGAATTTTCAGCTATTGTTTCTTTTCTATATGGGTATCTGCTTTTGTTAATAACCATGGAAATATAATCAAAGGTTTACTCCCCTTTTAGGCTAAGTCATAACTATCAGGTGTGACTTTAAAGTAGTCATCATAACTGTTGTATTTAGGTGATAAACCACAATTTTTGTCAGTTTCAGTAGCTGTATTAACCAATGCAGGAGTTACAGAGAACTCAGGGAACAAGTTTATAGATCAAATGCCCAAGGTAAGTGGGGTTTACAAACTTTTCCAATTTTTTTACACACAGGAGTTTAAGTTGTATCTCAGTAAACTATCTGTAATATTTATCAACCAAACAGTAGATTAACAAGATTTACAACTGCATGGCATAAACTGAAAGGAAACTTGGCACACGTGGTGCAAAGTAAATTGTTGATAAATCCACTGAAACATTAATATCAAACAGCACATTTTTTGTAGTGACCAAACCTGGATAATGATGTGCTGTTGGACCAACAGCTTGGCGGAAGTCTGGATCTGATTGAGAATTACTGGCATAGGCCCCATCTAATGACCAATGAAAAAAAAAAAAAAAAGGAACAATAAATAAGTTTTTGAAATAGAGACTCAAAATAATCCAGCTATAAACTCTATACACCCTAACGATAACATTCACATTCTCCACACTTGTCTCTTCACATTTCCTCTGATACTGAAAAGGAGAATTTTTTGGACAGTCAGGAGCTTCAAAAATTGGTGATGATTTCCTTTCCCCACCTGATCTTTACATTTGAATCAAGGCTAATACTGTTAAGAGAAATTGGAAGCCATGTAGTCACTCTTGGTGGTTAAAGGAGTAAAATCCCATTACTAAAATGAATATTTGAAGATGCCATAGGTGTAAGTGTGGCAGTTCCAAAACTATCTTCGAATGTGTTTAAAATTAGACTATAGACCCCACTATTTGAAGAGAAACTCACTAACTAAGCTACTGTACCTGCAAATGCAAAATAAAAATGATGGTTCAGAAAAAGTTAACCTTGGTTATCTATTGCAGGCAATTTTTTGACAAAATATTCCCTTCCTGGGTGGCTCCTTTTTGTGGAGATAAATCACCATAATTCACAATTCATTTATGTTCCTTAAGGCAAAGATAAACATAGTATGGTCTCTAGAGCAAACTTTTCTATTAAATTCATCATTGTTCATATTCCTGGGGAATAACTTATTTATTAGCCTCAAGCCTGCATGCTGCATCTGGCTTGCTGTTAACTGACATTTGGTTTTCATATGATCACTTTGTTTTGTCCTTGCAATAATTCCAGTCGTTTCTTTCCCCTGACTACTGCCTCGGGGGCTTTTCTTGAGCTACTGTTCATCAAAGATGCCAAAACAGATTCACTGTCTTGTTTGTTTGTTGTGGTTATCTTTTCATGTGATTATTCATCTTGTCAATTCCTTTACACAGCAGTCCATATTGCAAAGAAATGAGAGCTTCTGTACCAATGAAAAATGCATGTACATGATCTGCACAGTAACATTTTTGTCACTCTACTTTGTTTATTTCACAATTTGCCTAAGGCACATAAATTTACAATTGGACAAGGTTGTCTCCTACTAGTTACTTTACCTTTCCCCATCCCCTACAAACAAACAAAATTGAAACTCAACCCCCTTACAAGCCCCTATGCTAGGAAATAACAAAATATACAATCATTAACAAAAGATAAAAAGAAAAAACTAGTTGATTAACATGTATAAGAATTAAGAGCATTGAAACAACGACATTTTACACAAACTTTTTTAAATGAACAGATGTCATCTTTATTGAAAATTTTGCTAAGTCTTAGATAAAAGAAAGATATTAGTTTTTTTGATGAAAGATGGTAGTTCCTTTTAAGCTCTTTTGTTATCTGGTAAGACATTCCATATATTACAGATTCTTGTAAGACAGGAATCTCTATAGAGTGAGATTTTAGCTTTCTTATTTTTGAGAAAAAGACCTGATGCGCCATGGCACAAGCACCCACTACAAAACTACATTGAAATTACTTCAAATATGATATCATACAGTGTATTTGATAAACTATTCTTTCTCTTAAAATTTCCAATTATGACTACATCTTTCAAAGTGGTATTGTTTCTTCAACTTTAGAAAAGAGCATTAGCGAAATGTTTCCTCTGCACTCATGTGTACAGAAAAGAAGCATGTTTCTGAGATTTAGGAAGTGGATAGAAAAGTATTATGATATGAGAAAATTTACTTTTAAAGAGATGAAGCAGAAGAGAGCAGAACACTCTCCAACTGAAAATATTTTTTATCATCTTCCAAAGAAAACCGACCCTTGATCTTTCCCATTGTGACATGCCATGACTTTTTCCTAAATTTCCCTCACCAAAATCTATGTTTATTTAACATTCTTTAAGAAAAATATAGCTGTGTTTGAATTAATAACATTAACACATTCCTAAAATATTAAACAGAATATTCAATTATTCTAGTCAATCTGTCATAATTCTGACCAATGTAAACAGGTTTTAAAAACTTAACTTAGATTTACTTAGACTGGGTGTTGTGTCCCTTGAAAATTAAGGCTGAAAACATTCAAGACATTTGAGAAGTCTTTTGAAACATGATTCAATAGATTCTTATAATCACTACAGCCTTGTATAATTCAATTTGCAGACATGCGTCAAGACTTCTAGGATTTACATTTTTGGCAACATAGCAGAAAAATAATCATTGGAATATAAAACTTGTCTGACTGCTGGATTGGGCTATCAAGTTTCTAAGCATTTTTTGCTCTTCAATTGTTGGTTGTTGAACTGGTACCAGTCTGTCTTACCTGATGCTTTGATTTCAAAGCTTCAGGTCAGAAAACAAAAAAACAAAAAAGGGTAACACAGCCACAATTTGCCTTGCAAGCCCAATGAAGCATGTCGTGCTACTGTTCAATGTTATCATGTAAATTTGTTTTTCTAAGAATTGACTCCTGAAAGCCACAAAATATAATAATTCTTAGAAAGTCACCTACAATCATGAGGCAAAGCCAGAAGTACCATCTCAGCTGCTAAAAAAATGCAGTTTGATACACATTTGTTTGAGCACAAAATAATGTAACAGCTGTAGCAGATTGCAGGAAAATAAATATGAACTATTTAGCAAGGAAATGTAACTTCTATTCCACCTTCAGTGGCTTTAGCAAAACACAACACAATTTTCTTATTAATCACTGAGGATTGAAATTATCTTGCCTCTTCTGCCTTAGTGTTTAACACCAAAAATAGTGATGATAATCATTTCTCCCTTAAGACAAACACTACAAAATCAAAACATTGCAGTCTACTTCACACATAAAATTAACAATCACCTAATGTGATCAACAATATCACTTCCCAACAGCACTGTTAAATCTATCAGAATGAAAAGTTGCCACGTGTGTCATGCTGCAGCAAGAGATCCATAATCTCTGGCTTTTAGTGCTTTTAGTGATGCAAAGTTCTCTAAAGTTCCTCCTTCATCTTAATCCTGACTGTTTTCATGAGTGAACAACGACAGAAAAAGAATAAGGAAGAGCATTGGAAACTGGTTAAAGAAGCACACACTCATTTACCATTAAATCTACAGACATATCAACATCCAATGAAAAAGGTTTATTCCAAACTACAAATCCCAAAAAGATAAGCTGCAACCCCTTAAAAACCCTTCTAAATCTGGCCTTGGATTCATACATCCACCTCCACATATTGGGTGATGTGAAAACTTCATAAAAGTGTTAAAAGCAAAGAACTGCCTTTCCACAAACAGCTTCTAGCAAAAGTACTTCTCAAGACTAAGTTAAATCCCCAGCTTTACATCATGAATAGGGGTTTTAATTAAAATGCTGAAAAATAAAATTCCAGCAATGAGCCAAGGCTCTCTAGAATATCTATGGAGAGCTTGTGCCATTAAAAAGAATAAAAAAACCTTTAGATGGAAAATCATAAAAAAAGTAATTTCTCACAAGGCATAAAAAATTTAAAACCATGACTTTCAAAGCAAATAGAGCACAGCACAATGTAAATTAGATTTCATCCTTAGAATTTCTTCACAAAGTTATGTTCAATATTTTCCACTTTCATCTGTATTGAAATGATGAAAAGTCCTTAATAGATAAAGGAGGTGTTCATTAGCAAAAGGTCCTAAAATAAGGAATTTGATATTTCAAGGTAAACATCAAGATTAAACAGTAACCCCCTATGTTCAATTTACTGTAAAACTTAAAATCATTATGAAAGTCAGCAAATTCCCAACATCAATCATAGAATTCTGGTATTCAAAACTTTGACAATAAAAACAAGATTTGAAAAAAATGTTGTTTCCTTTTCACAAGAAATGTGGTGGGCTTTTCACAGAGCTTAAACTATTGAGGAAAGCTAAAGGAGCTTTTCTTTCAAATAAATACAGACTAAGACCTTCATGCTCCATAGCACAGCATAAACCATTATATACATTATTTTCTATTAGAACTAAAAGTGTGGTAAATACACCAATTTAAAGAAATGAAAGGTGCTGATGCTTTTCAAAGCTTTCTTTCCCTACTAATGGCATTTTTAAAGTTCAATTTGAACAGACAGAGTGAGATAGACAGAGACAGATAGAGTGAGAGAAAGTACTCATTTTTTTCCTACAAGAGAGCTCATTGTAACACTTGGTTATTTTATACTTTTAGAGAGCAAGACCTCAAAGAAATCAATTAAAGAGAGAGAGCATACCAACAGGAAGAGATGAACTATTTGTCAAACAATGTCAACAGCAGCCCATCACCTAATTATAAAATTACCAGTTGTAATTTTTATCCATTTATGATTTTGAGCGTTTTAATTTGTGTTGACAGTTCGAGACACTATTTGGCTGAAAAGACGGTAATAGACTTGAGGAACGAGTGATAATCGATCCTCATAAATTTTCAAACAACCTCACCCAGAGTTAAAAACAATTGTTTACCAGGATCATGTTTTTTTTTTCTTATAACTTTTTTAACGTTATGAATCATTTAAGGGCATTAGACAACTCATACAATAATAGGTAAATAACCTAAAATATCTCTTTTAGCTTTTGAAATCGAAACACCATCAAGTCAAGACTCGTGTTTGTCAAATCCGGAAAAAGCCAAATAAACCAACTAACCAAAATCGAACATTTTAATGCCGCTACCTCAACAGTAAAGCAGATTGCAGTCTTAGTATTTTAACTGGAATGAAACAAATTGTTGACTTTTCTACTCAATGTATGTTCTGATTGCCACAATAAGCTTAAGAGCAAGAGTAATACAGGCTTTTGTGATTTGAATAGCTGCTCTTGGGAGAGTTTTGAGAGTACAATAAATAGAATGATGCATGTCGTGACACCATAAGTTCAATCTCCTTGTTAGCTATTTCTATCGCCTCCGTAATTAAGATCTCTTTTGTGGTTTAATGATTTAAGTCAAAGAAAGATCTAGGCGAATATTTGGGGAGCTCGATCTCCGCGTTCTCGAACAAATGATCACATTCTCAACAATAGAAGGGGAAACGACCAGTTCCATTGTCTGATCCCAGTCAAGCATGTACTCCTAAATGAAAACAAAAAAGATGGCCAAGCCACGTGTTTTCGAGCAGACAGAAAGTCTGGAATGGAACAAAGATATCGCCATGAATATAATTGCACGTCGGAACCCGTGGTAACTTTTGTCTGTTTCAAAGGCAAGAAATCGACAGTTTTGACAAAAACTCTTGAGAAACAGTACCCACGTACAAATATAAATGTTTGGGCATACAAGCCGAGAGTGTTGAGGAATGAGATTGAAAAAAAAAAATTCTAGAAAAACACGGCCTCTCCATTCGAGTCGTTTGTGATAAACAGCAAAACATTGACATCTACCGCTGTAAAGTACTTATGGATTCACAACCTACCTGGATTCCTCGACAATGCCAATCCCGTAATATCTGTGAATAACGGTTCATAAGTTTAGTCTTATTTTGCATTTACAAAACACACAAGTAATACCAAATCTTAACAAACAGTCCCTGAGTCGATCAAGGAAATAGGAAAATGGATCCACGCGTAGACTAAACTATTGTCGACTGCGTTTCTGCAATAATAGCCATAGGCAACCTTCAACCGTCGATCGACCCGTCGAATTCGTAAAATATTGGAGCTTGATATTTTTTTACTCACCCGGTGAGACGACTCGCTCGTAATGATAAGGATTCACGCAAACGCTGTCACATTTTAAATCAAAAGCAAACTGGCAGTACTTGACGTGCTTTAGTTCATTCTTGTGCAGATCGGGCCACCTCCAAATTCGCGCGTAAATGACATGGGGGAAACCTTTCCGACCGGCGACTTGTAATCTTCCGTCTAATGTGCGTTGAATTGTAACGCATTTGGAAGGATGCGTGCCACCAGAGGTTATAGCGGTAATCAAGGCGTCTAGCTCGTCCCTTTTTTCTTTGAGTTTCTTGACGAGAGACTCGATAGCCCGCTTCGCGAACGACTCTGACTCACCCCCTTGTCGGTGACACATCAGGCTGTGAACGATACTCAGGCACGCATCTGAACTGTTCGGTGCCACAGCCATCTTTGACAGCCTCTCCGCCACGGAGCTAGGCGTAACAAACAAGGACGTGTCTATCTGTTCGTGGACTGTGTCCGTTGAGTCTATCCTGTTTTGGATTTCAGACAATAACGACAAGTCGCACATGAATGTTGCCACCAGGAAAGAGTTTCAAATCACATGCATACATGAACATACAACTCGACTCGACAGAGCCCGCGCGATGTCACGAACCACAACGACAACTCTGACTCAGTACGCATGCGTGAAAGTCTGCGAAAACAATGCCATCCAGTCCCCACTCCACCCCTGTAGAAGATTTCGAATTTTTTTTTTTCTCTCCATTTTAGCCTCTTGGAGTTCGGAAATTGTACTACTTGTCAGTATTTTGCTTATAAATCAATCATCACTCACAAATTTAGTTTAAGGTTTCATACCACAGCTTTACTCTTAGTCTAGAAAATTAACCGAGGACAACTAACAAATCATTCCAGGTATTTCATTTAAGACTGGGATTTTTAAATTCAATTACATAAATGCAAGCAAAATCCGGTTCTCGTTTAGAGAAGCAACCACTACTCTTTTCAGATGGTGTGGTCATTTTTATTTATCAATAGTCAACCCAGTCAATGGGCACATTAACAAAGAGTGCAACAGACCAGAGAACCGAAATTTCCGAAGTACAATTAGCTGTCATTAACAGAGTTAACCACTTTGGAAATTACGTTTTCATTTTTTGCTACGTAACTAACCCAAGTGCAAATCAGATTTCGAAAACCCAGCCATGTCTCTGTATGAATAATCAAGAGTCTTCAATTGCACAATACAATCATGAATGGAGTCTGATAAATATTGAATACGGTATACGTATTGATATAAGCGCAATTAGCTCATATTTTTCTTCTGTTGCGGTCTCATTCTTTTGCACAATCCTTCAAGGGGCCATTTCTCACCCCTTTCATCTTTCAAAGAAATAATGCTTCAAAAATAAAAGAAGACTACTTACTTCTGAAGCGCAGTCAGTTATGCGGAGCTTTTGATCTTCAGCGTTACAATCAAATAACCAATTCCCTACACAAAAAATTCTTTGAAAAAAAGAGATAAGAACATATCGATAAAGAAAACACACATACACACGAAAAAACGATATGGCTTTTTTTTTTAATAATAGGGTGATGTAAATGTTCATCTACCGCTGCACAGTTAACGGTATCAAGAGATCTCTCGTCTGTGTAATTATACCTAGTGGATAGGCACATAATATTCTCTGTCTCTGGAAGCCTGTATTAGTTTCCGTTTTGAATATTGTTGCTCAGTTTGTTTGTTCTGTTTTATATAATATATATATATATATATATAATATCATATAATAATATATATATATATATATATATATATATATATACATACATATATATATTTATATATAATAAATGGGGGGTAGAGTCTACCTTAGCATAAAGTGCTCAATGCTGTGGTAGCAGAGCTGGGTATATATAAGTGAAGGAATCGATGCGTCCTCTTTGATTCCTCCACTTATATATATATATATATATATATATATATTAAATCTGGCTGACGAGTGCGTAAGCACGAAACTCAGAGTTACAGGGAATCATGCGTGTTTCATTTTAGTCATTTTGAACTGTATTTCGCTCTACACTCATGTGTATTGAGCACTTTCCAACAGCATTTGCTACAATTTTCCACAATTATATATATATATATATATATATATATATATATATATATATATATATATATATATATATATATATATATATATATATATATATATATATATATATAAATAAGCCATGAATATTACATACGGCATTTGACAAAAGTTAGATCACCTTAAGTTTCAGAGAAAACAAAATATCTCCTTCCCCCGTCAACAGAAATTTAAAGAAAAAAAATCGTCTAAATGACTCTAATTTTGATCGCCTAAGACTTTTTCATTAGCATCCATCCCTCTTTCAGAAGCCACAGTCCAGAAACCCTGGAATCTGATAAGCCCCCGAGGCACATTCCTATTTACCTAGGAATCTGGAATGTACGCTAAAGAGAAAAATTGATCCTTGCGGACCTTCATCAAAAAAAACAAAACAAAACAAAACAAAAAAAAACTAGCGTTTAATTTAAGGAGCGACAGGAACTGTAAGAAATGGGGTATTTATCATATTCTTTTAGTCTTCATTATTTCTCGCCTGGAAATATTAGTAACGTTTTTTTCTTTGAGTCCTCTATTGGCTGGTGAAGTTTGTACAGGTCCCAATTAGGCAAATAAATTTGCTAACGCATCAGGGCCCAGTTGTTCAAAGGCCGATTAGTGCTAGCCCAGGGTTAAATTTTAATGTAGGTTTCTATATTCTTTTTTCCAAAGCCTTTTAGTGAAAATTTTCCCTATTCTTTTTAGAACATCCAATGATCAAATTGCAAGCAAAAATATTTGAACTGAATTTTCTTTTAAGCTTTCAGACCTGAAATCAAATTCCTTGCTAACCCTGTGTTATCTTAACCCAGATTTGAACAACCCGGGCCAGGATAACATTTAGATGCAGGAGACTTACACTCATCAGCAACTGTATGTAATACAGACTTCAGTCAAGTTTCCGAAAAAAAATTGAATTTTTCATCGGATGTAGTTTGCCGATATCCGTGTTGACAACGTCTTTATCGCACCTTTTTCCCCGTGAGTCTCGCCTCAACCAGTACGACTAGACTTACTGCGGTCAAGAAAGCAAAAGCAAACGAAAACGTACTTACCGTGACAACAAAGATGATTTAAAGTCGAATCAAGAAAAAAGACCGATTTCTTTTTGTCCCTTATCGAAACTCGCTTGCTTTCTATCAGTCTGCAGGCAAGCAGCCTTTACAAGTAATCCGTAATTCTCTGCAGGGCTCAGCTTTTTGTAAACTCCACCGCACAGAGGGAGACAAGGCCACCTGTTACAGGTGTAAATATAGAAATCTCATTTAATGTAATTCTTAAATAGTCAAGTTAGATTTATTTCAAGAAATATCGACTACGCCCTTTTCCGACAAATGTTTCCTCGGCTTTAGCCCCTCAAAAAGTTATTATATAGCCTTTCCAACCTTAGTGCGTTGTTTTGCGGAGCAACGCATTAAATTTTCCGTTCGTTCTCATTTATCATTCTATACATTTTTCCAAAAAAGTCATTTGTTAGTCTCTCAGAGGCTTCAAATATTTATGCAGGCTAAATTTAAGGTTCGACACAAAACTAAAATGGTACCCTTTTGTCTTAACGGGAAGTAAATTGATAAAAATAATGATAAAACTGGTCAGCAGAAAACGGGAAACAATAGGAAATCTTGCTTTTGTTGTTGCTTTGATTACTTATGTTGTGTCTAACGAGAACTACACGAACTCTCCTCTCGTTTTCTTCATGAATACTGCAAGGTATGCCAAAGGGCAGGAGAGAATTTAAGACGGATGATTGCAATGATGCTTTCTTTCTTTTTGTTCTGTTCCTATTTTGTCCCTAGCAAAATGTACTTCATTCGACCAAATATTCAAGCGAAACGTGAGTTACTTGTGAATTTCCCAAACTGTACGAGCACCTTTCAAGGGCTGACAAGTACAGAAATGATCTTTAGGGGATTAGAGACCTAAACACCTGAAATAAACATCTATATAACACCTGTCTGCAGCTAAATTATCTATTTTGAAGTTAAACCGGGGTGAATCTTTGCCGTTTTTTACAGAAAAAAGAGGGCGTTCTTGGAAACCTGACTTTAAATTTTTTAATTTTCTTTGTTCGTCTTGGTCACTTTCTTTGGTTATTGCTGATGTGGTTTTGGTAAAAGTGATAATCAAAAAACGATGAAAGATGGCCCGTAAACTAGACTTGCAAGGAAAAATTTTTGTAAGGAAATTTCTACATCCGAATACACGAAACGTGTTGTGGCAAAGTGAATCAAATTTCTGGTAACAAAGGTTGATATGCAAATTTATACCCGACATGATGACACGATTCGCTGCAAGCAACTACACGTTTCGCTGAGGGGAAAAAGAGGGCAACCTTTCAGTTCGTTAGCCAAGGAAATCTGTCCATTAGTGAAAATTATACTTGACAAAATCCAAGCCAAGTTCCAGAGGCCATAGGTTCAGTCTCCTATCGCAGAGGAGAAACTTAAATATACACCAACATTCGTGAGGAAGCAGAATTTTGATCACGAGCTCGTAAGTAGGAGTTACAGCTGTTGCGCACTTGACATAAACAGCAAGAAATACATGGAGATTTGAACATGAATAGCAAAACAAAACAAAGACAAAAATTTATTTACAGAAGGGGTTCATTGCCGGGAATCTATTTCTACTCGTGAGTTTGATACCAAAGTTGTAGTTCCCGTGGGGATGAAAGTAACTATCCCTTCACAAGAGCTTGGAGCTGCTCAGTTTTCAATATGAATGAAGAAAAAAGTTGTGCTAATCGATTACAATTGAAGGGTAAGTCGCATTCTAGACTCCTTTTTGGCGAAGTCTGTCGCTTGAGTTAAAAAAAAGGTGAAAAAAACATAATGTTGGCGTTATTTATCTCTCGGATTAATTTATCATGCTCGCCTTTGGCAAATCAAGATGATGTAATTGTAAGTTCAGAGATGTTAACTGATTCGCAGCTGCTGTACGCCATGGATTGAAAAGCTGCCCAAAGAGGTCAGGGTTGTAGCAAAGAAAACTAACCAAGCTGACATAGATTGAGCCAGGGAGACAATACAAAGTATAAAGACTGAGGATTAGTGTCACTGAATCAACGCCGGTGATCATCAGTGTGGCAATAATAATAATTGGAATAAATAAAGCGATTAAACTCTTGCTGACAGATAGAAAATTGGTTGGATAGCCTGGCGGTATCAAGGTTCTGAGTAACTGCTAAGGCTTAGAGCAAAAGCAAAAAGCTCCTTGTGAACGACAACCTCATTTCTAGGCCTTTTCGCACTCTTACCCAATTCTCAGGGGTAGAAGCACAAAGACTGAGGATGGTATGTGGGGTTTTTAGTAAACTCCCTTCCTTCCAAGGTACGACCTCAACATCTTTTTAGGCAGCTACGCAATAAGATAACTTATTTGCTCACAGGTTCGTCTATTCTAATAACACTTTTATTTTTATTTTCATACATATTTACAAGATATTCCTTTGACCCGCAGATAGCAAACGCTAATCGAGGCGAGTCAATTTTTTTTGCTTTAACTAACTTA